AAAAAAAAAAAAAAAGAATGGGTACAAACTTAAATGACCATCAGTTACTATAGACATCTTAAGCCAAAGATGTTATATACAAATTTAATGTAATGATATATAAAAACCAGTAATAGATACACAATGAAAAAAGAGAAATCCAAATATATCACTAAGGAAAACCAGCAAACCATGGAAGAGAAAAGGAAAAGAAAAGATCAGAAGAAATCTCCCAAAACAACCACAAAAACAGATAATATATTGGCAATAAATACATATTTATCAATAATTACTTTGGATGTAAATGCTATAAAAGTTTCAATTAAGAGACATGGGGTGTCAAAGGATTAAAAAACAAAACAAAAAAAGTAACAAGATCCATCTATGTACTGCCTAGAAGAGACTCATTTTTGACCTCAAGACACCTGCAGATTGAAAGAGAGGGGATGAAGAAACATCTATCATGCAAATGGATGTCGAACAAATTTATATTGGACACAACAGACTTTAAAACAAAGACTGTAACAAAAGTCAAAGAAGGGTACTATATAACCATAAAGGGGACATTGCAACAAGAAGACAGAACAATTTTAAATATTTATGCACCCAACATGAAAGCACCCAAATAGATAAAACAGTTAATAACAAACATAAAGGAAACTAAAAGATAATAATACAATTATAATAGGGGATGTTAACACACCTCACTTACATCAATAGAGCATCTAAAACAGAAAATTAACAAGGAAACAATTGCTTTGAATGACACTGGACCAGATGAATTTAACAGATATATTCAAAACATTTCATCCTAAAGTGGCAGAAAACACATTCTTTTCAAGTGCACATGCACCATTCCCCAGAAGAGATCACATATGAAGTCACAAAACAAGCTTCAATAAACTGAACAAGATTAAAGCACACCATACATCTCCTCTGACCACAATGCTATGAAACTAGAAGTCAACCACAAGAAAAAATCTGGAAAGACCACAAACACATGGAGTTTAGTTAAAGAACATGCTACTAAACAATAAATGGTTCACCAGGAAATAAAAGAAGATAGAAAAAAATACATGGGAACACATTAAAATAAAAACACAACAATTCAAAACCTTTGGGACTCAGCAAAAGTGGTTCTAAGACGGAAGTATACAGCAATACAGGCTATCTCTAGAAGCAAGAAAAATATCAAATGACCAGCCTAACCTTACACCTAAAGGAACTAGAAAAAGAATGAAAAAACAAACCTAAAAATAACAAAAAGGAGGAAATAATAAAGATTAAAGCAGAAAAAATGATATGGAAATTAAAAATACAACAGGCCAATGAAACCAGGAGCTGGTACTTTGAAAAACCTGATAAACTTGATGAATGTACAGCCAGACTTATCAAGAAAAAAAGGGAAAGGAGTCCAATAAATCAAATCATAAATGAGAGAGGAGAAATAAAACCAACACTACAGAAATACAATTATAAGAGAGTATTATGAAAAATTATATGCCAACAAATTGGACAACCTAGAGGAAATGGATAAATTCCTAGAAATATATAAACTACCAAAGATGAAACAGGAAGAAATAGAAATTTTGAACTAACTGAATAGATGCAGAAAAAGCATTTGACAAAGTACTTCCATTCATGATGAAAACCCTTAACAAAGTAGATTTTGAGGGAACATACGTCAACATAATAGAGGCCATATATGAAAAACCCATAGCTAATAATACCATATTCCATGGGGAAAAAACAGAGCTGTTCCCCTATGGGCAGAAATAACACAAAGATGTCAACCCTCAGTTTTATTCAACATAGTACTGGAAGTCTTAGCTATAGCAATCAGACAACAAAAAGAAATAAAAGGCATCCAAATTGGCATGGAATAAGTAAAACTTGCAATCTCTGCAGATGACATGATACTATATATAGAAAACCCTAAAGGGGCGCCTGGGTGGCTCAGTCAGTTAAGCATCTGACTTCGGCTCAGGTCATGATCTTGCAGTCTGTGAGTTTGAGCCCCATGTCGGGCTCTGTGCTGACAGCTCGGAGCCTGGAGCCTGCTATGGATTCTGTGTCTCCCTCTCTCTCTCTGCCCCTCCCTGCTCGTGCTCTGTCTCTCTTGCTCTCAAAAATAAATAAAACATAAAATTAAAAAAAAACCCTGAAGACTTGACCAAAAAAATGCTAGAACTGATTAATGAATTCATTAAAGTTGCAGGATACAAAATCAACATGCAGAAATCTGTTGCATTTCTATACACCAAGAATAAAGCAGAAGAGGGGTGCCTGGGTGGCTCAGTCAGTTAAGCGTCCAACTTCAGCTCAGGTCATGATCTCTCCATTCCCGAGTTCAAGCCCCAAGTCGGGTTTTGTGCTGACAGCATGGAGACTGTACCCTGCTTTGGATTCTGTGTCTCCCCCTCTTTCTACCTTTCCCCTGCTCATGCTCTGTCTCTCTCTCTCAAAAATAAACATAAAAAAAAAAAAAAACTTTTAAAAAAGACTGAAGCAGGAGAAAGAGAAATTATGGAATCAATACCATTTACAACTGAACCATAAACAATAAGATACTTAGGAATAAACCTAACCAGAGGTGAAAGACCTTTACTCAGAAAACTATAAACACTGATGAAAGAAATTGAAGAGGACTCCAAGAAATGGAAAGACACTCCATGCCATGGATCAGAAGAACAAATATTCTTAAAATATCTACGTAAAGCAATCTACACATTTAATGCAATCCCTATCAAAATACCACCAGCACTTTTCACAAAGCTAGACCAAACAGTTCTGAAATTTCTATGGAACCACAAAAGACCCCAAAGTGCCAAAGCAACCTTGAAAACGAAAAGCAAAGTTGTAGGCATTACAATTCCTGACTTTAAGTTACATTACAACACTGTAGTGATCAAAACAGTATGGTACTGGCACAAAAATAGACACACTGATAAAAAATGAACAGAATAGAAAACACAGAAGTGAACTGACAACTGTATGGTCAATTAAACTTTGACAAAGCAGCAAAGAATATCCAATGGGAAAAGAATGTCTCTTCAACAAATGGTGTTGGGAACATTGGACAGCCACATACAAAACAATGAAACTGGACCACTTTCTTACATCATACACAAAAAATAAATTCAAAATGGATTAAAAGACCTAAATGTTAGACCTGAAACCATCAAAATCCTGGGGGAGAACACAGGCAATAACTTCAACATTGCCTGTAGCAACTTCTTTCTAGATATGTCTCCCAAGGCAGCGGAAACAAAGTAAAAAAAAAAAACTATAGGGACTATATCAAAATAAAAGCTTCTGCACAGCAAAGGAAACAATCAACAAAACCAAAAGGCCATGTATGGAATGGGAGACGATATTTGCAAATGACATATCTGAAAACGGGTTAGTATACAAAATATTTAAAGAGTTTAAAATGCAATGCCCCAAAATCTAATAATCCAATAAAAACTAGGCAGAAGACATGAATATACATTTTTCCAAAGAAGACATAGAGATGGCCAACAGACACATGAAAAGATGGTAAACTTCACTGATTATTAGGGAAATGTAAATCAAGACTACAATAAGATATTACCTCACACCTGTCAGAATGGCTAAATTCAACAACACAAGAAACAATAGGTGTTGGCAAGGATGTGGAGAAAAGGGAACCCTCTTACACTCTTGGTGGGAATGCAAACTGGGTCAGCAACTCTGGAAAACAGTATAGA